TTAGCTTATGCTTGTCATGTTATTTTGTTGCTGTTCATTCCCTGGCTTTCCTCTCTGTTTAATTGCTTGCCCTGCCTCGTGGTTTCTTTCTGTTGTTGTTCTTAGAATTGTGGTCATTTTCATCTCTGTCCAGAATGTCCTGTACACTTAGTAGAGTAGAAACAATGAAATTCTTCAGTTGTTCTTTGTCATGGAAGCATCTTATTCTCCATTAATTTTGAAAGGTGGCTTTGTAGGTACATCAGCCTGGGTTGGAAGTTGTTTTCTTTCAGGACTTGAAATACTTCACACAAAGCTCTTCTTGACTTGAGGGTTTTTGCTCAGAAGCATGTTATGATTCTGCTGGGCTTTCTTTTATTGTTGCTGTATTCCTTTTCCTTAACAAGTTTTAATATTCTGTTCTTGTGCTGAATTTCTGGAATCTTGATTATTATAAGCCTTGATGTAGATTTATTTTAATCGTAGTTAATTGGAGTTCTGTTTCCTCACTTAGATGTAAGATTCTTTTCCCTTGCTTGGGAAATTTTCCATGACTTCTGAGAATGGTCTTTTATATTGATTCCTGCTTTTTTCTTGACACTTATTAGTCTTATATTGTTTTTCTTTGCATTATCTTGCAGTTGTTGACTTGCTTTTTCCTGATCCCTTGTTATTTTTAAGAGCTCTTTCATTTTATGTGACAAATTGCATTTATTATTTTGCATATATTGAACTGTCCTTCCATCCCTGGGATGAGGCCTACTTGGTCACGATGTATATACTTTTTGATGATTTTTTGTATGTTGTTTGCCAGTCTTGTTGAAAATTTTTGCATCTATGTCATTAGAGAGATTGATCTATAGCTGTCTTTTATGACTGAATATTTGTCAGGTTTGGGGATCAGGTTACTGTTAGGTTCCAAGAATAATTTTGGGAGTGCTGTTTTTCTCTTGATTTCACTAAATAGCTTGAGAAGTATTGGTGTCAAAATCTAAAGGTCATGGGCTTTTTTTAGTTGTTAGGTTTTTATTACTGCTTCAATTTCTTTGCCTATTATTCAGGATTTTAAAGTCTTCTTAGTTTGATTTTAGTAATTCATATATATCTAGGAATCTCTATATTTTCTGAGTTCTCAAATTTTTTGGAATGCAGATATGTGAAATAATTGCTAATAATCTGGTTTCTAGCAGTTCCCATTGTGATTTCCCCTTTGTATTTTAATGCATTGATATGTATCTTTTCCCCCTTGCTTTGGTAAGAATGACTAAGAGATTACACATGTTCCTTAGTTTTTCAAAGAAGGAGCTCACCAATTCATTGATTCTTTGTATTTTTTGTGTCAGTTTCATTAATTTCTGCACCAGTATTTATAATTTTCTTTCTTATAATGTGCTGTAGACTTAGGTTGTTTTCATTTTTCTAGGACTTTGAGGTTCACCAATAGGTTATTTATTTAGGCTCATTCCAAATTTCTGATGTAGGCATTTAAACTATAACTGTTCTTCATTAAATTGCTTCCATTATGTCTATAGGTTCTCACTCTAGAATTGGTTTCACACTACTGAAGATACTGGGTGGGAGACAGCCACAGGAGACAGACTTAGAAAGAGTAAGGTATAGGCGTAGACCCTCTGAGATCTCTGAAAAGTGCAAGTTCAGGCCAGGAAGTTCATGCTTTCTTTTAAAGATGGAAATATTTTGCACCATGCTCTCCTCATCTTTATAACTTTTTGTTGAAAAGACAACTATAATTTGAATGGGTTTACCTTTATGGGTGATTCATTTTTTTTCTTCTAACAGCTTTTAAGGTTTTTGCTGGATATCTTGTATTTTGACAGTGATGTGTCTTGGAAAGGCTTTTTTCTGATCACAGCTATTTGGGCTTACCATGGCAAACTCTTTTTTCATATTTGGGAGGTTTTCTGCTATTTTTTAATAAATAGATTTTCAATGCAATTTATTTTGTCTTCTGATTTTTCATTAATTCCAATTAATCTTTGTCTTCTTCATATTATCTAGCAGCTTTTGGTTCCATTTTTCATGTTCTTTCTTTCTTTTTTAATGTTTTGCTCATGAACTGATCATCCACAACAGCCTTGTCCTCTAGCTCTCATATTCTATCCTCGCATTGGTTACATCTATTGCCTACACTTTTGATAGAATTTTTAATCTCCTGAATTCCTGTTTGGTGGTAGACACAGTAATCATGAGACTGTTACAATATCTTATTAATCTGGGCCAAGAAAACAGTCTATCCACATTACAAGAAAAAAGTTCTGCCAGCTCCTGGCCAAGGGACCACCTAGTATCCATCTAGGAGTCAAAATTCTCACTAACATTTGGAAAGAATGGGCTCCTGCTCAACAATTAAAAGCAACATGGAAAGACTTGCTTTTTAGTGATCCTTGCCATATCTGCAATAAAGGTGGTAGAAATAGATAAATGGATTCTCCTTTTTAGGATAAAGCCAGCATCACTTGCACTGTCTGAAGAATAAAACCATCCAAAAGAAGAAAGCTATGCCTGTGAACCTCTGGAAGACCTGAGTCTTTTCTTCAGAAGTAAGACTGCAGTACTGCTCCAGGTTGAGATAAATAGAGTGACTAGTTACCCATAACCAATCACAGCTTAAATGGGCATCTATATAAACACTTTGTTTTTTGATTAGATCTGTCATGTAGATAGACTTGCTAGGACTCCAGCTCTCAGTTTCTGGGTATTTTATCTGTTATCCCTCTTCTCCATGCTTTTTTTTCCATAGGAAATGTGGCAATAAAACTTAGAATATTTTTACAAATAATAATATGGAAAAATAATTTTTCTAATTATTGATCCTGTCATAGTCCACCTTTTAATATGGACCAAGAAATATTCTGACCTGCTCCTTCTCTGTTTGAGCTCTAAGTTTACCCATTCAAGGCTTCTGATGATGACTACAGACCATGACTCCTTTGACAAATTCACCAAGCTTTCTCCCATTGAATAGGCAGGTCAACCATTCTTGACATATTGGGACTAGCTCCTTTCTCCTTGGCTTCTGACGGGTATTTTTTTTCAGTTCAACCAGTGTGGCCAATTTCCCAAGGTAGTTAGAGAGCACATAATTCCCAGAGGCCCCAGTAGGTAGGATCTACAGCCCCTTTCAGCATGAAGAGGGTATATAAAAACAGTAGACCTCTACACCCTCAGCATCTCAGAAAGAATTATGGGGATTTCCATCTCTCATGGGCAAAAGAATCAAGAGATTAGGGTGTGGGCAACTGGCTGAGCAAGTTGGTGTGATCTGCCAGTCGTGGATAGCCAGGAAACATGCTGTCTAGAAGCTTAACTAAGTAACTCAGCAGTTCTACATCCTGGGGTGAAAAGGACATGCCCTTGCTGCTCTAAGATGTTGTTCACTGTGTCAACTTGAGAAGTTTAAAAGTTCAACTTTAAACTTTAAAGTGATTTAGCAGAGAGCCACGGTTCTTACTTTGTGAACATCCTCAGCTTGTGGAACAGGAGGGCACAAAGACGGTGTAGGTGTGGCCAGATAGCCAATGTACAATATAAGGAGGGAAAAGAGCTCCCCGCCCCCCATTTGTTCTTGCTGCTTTTGCTGTCTTTCACTGCTATGAACTGTAGTCCTGGGCCACGTGCCACTCTGTCTTGGAGCCAGCCAAGTATAGACTAAAACCTCCACAAACTAAGGTTAATAACATTTCCTTCCTTACTTTTAGCGGTCTGGTATTTTCTCTCAGCAACAAGAGAGAAAAGTAATCAAGCTACATGTGTAGAACAGTTTCCAAGCTTTGCACCTAGGACCAATCAGAAAGTGCTACCTTCAATTCATCTGCATGAAATCAAGCAAGCTTTTGATTATATGGCTTAGATCTGACCCCAACATAAAGAATGAGGGATATAAATGACTTTCACCATTCAACTTGTGGTGACTGTGAACTCTTTCATTTATTTTTACTCTGCAGAGCCTACTTCTTTTCCTACCTTTAATAAATGTAAAATCTTACCACCTGTTTAGGGTGTCTTACCCAATTCTTTGCTCAGGACGCCAAGGACCTGGTAAGAGTCTACAGAACCCCAAAAGCCGATCACAAGAGTTTCTGTCTTTTAGGTTGGAGACCAAGGAATGATAATTAAAATGGAAAGAATAATAACTCATAAAGATAACTAATACCAATAATTACAAAAGAGAGAATGAATGTAATCACTGGTTAAGGAACTGTGCCTTTCATAGGCATTTTTGCATTTAAACCTCCCTATGATATTGTTCACAAGTACAGATAATGTAAACAGTTATACAAAGTGGAGGAAGCCACAGCCACCAGACTCCTGCTCTGTGTGTGGCTCTGGGTTCCTGCTCCTGGCCCTAGAACTCAGGGGTGACCAACCCGAATGGCGCTTTCCAGCCTAGCCAGGGGCAAGGGTCCTTTGCAGTGGGATTTCCAAATTCAGTTGACATGGACCCAGAGGTGGTGCTGATGGTAGCAATCTCTGCTTTGTGCACTTCAGTTAGTGAAAGACATAGGTACGCGGTTGGTGTGTCTGGGTGTAGCTCAGAAGTTCCGCCCTTTCCTGGTTTAGTGGTTCAGTTCCCTGAACAGCAGTGGGGGATGAAGAGGGGAGGGCCGGGTGGCACTCAAATCTAGAAAGCTTGTTTCTCTCCAAGGAAGGAGCAAAGCCTGGGAAAGAAGTACTTGCCTTCAAAACACCTGTTAGAGGTTTTTCTAGTCCCCAGAGATCCTGCTGAATAGGTGACCAGCCCAGTAGGGGGTCGTGTATGCTTTCATGCGGTGACACAGCTCTCCCCTGGACATACGCCCGCCCGGCACATCCGGCGGTCCAGGGTCGGTTTTGGGGCTCTGGTGCTGGGAGCGGCTTCCCTGACGCCCCAGGAGCAGCGGTGACAGCTCCTGGGCAGGGCTAGGCGGGGCGGTTCGGCCCGGTCTTTTTCTCACGCTCCTTGCCCGCTGTACTCAAGGGGCGGCGCAGCGCAGCGCTTTATTTCCCCATCCAGACACCCATCTTACAGCTCGGATCCGCGCGGCCCGATGGGCTGCCGGCTGCTGCTCTTGCTGTCCGCGCTCTGCGCGCTGCTGCTGCTGCTGCTGCTCTGCCTCGGGCTCCTCCTGCGGGCCGACAGCGACCTGACCCTGCAGTGGGCTGAGAGGAGGGGCCGCTGCCCAGGTGAGGACCGGCGTGGCGGCTCCCGGGGGCTCCCGTCCTCCCTTCTGCCGGCCAAGGCTCCTACAGGCCCTCCGGGTAGCTTAGAGCCTCTGGGTCCCCAGGCTGCGCCTTTCCCAGGAGACGCACGATGGGAAGCGAGGGGCTGCGGGGAGGGGAGCTGTGCTACTTTGTCCTCTGTCCCGGTGGGCAGATGACCAGGACTTGCCACCTGCCTCGGAGCTTCCCCTGGCCCTGCCATCCTGCAGTGGGCAGGGAGCCTGGAGCGCACAGGACCCCGAACTCTCAGGGACTCAGGGGCAGTGTCAGGGACGCGCTGAGGCGCAGTGAATGCGCCCTGCTCAGCGAAAGAGGCTCGGGCATTCTTCCTCCCGAAGTTGTTTATCCTCCACTTCTTGCTCTCCCTAGCTGGGAAGTGGAATCGGAGCTATTCTGACACAATTCTTAGAAACTCGTCCCGTTTTCCAGATAGAGAAAGGTGCCCAGAAAAATCAAGCGACAGCCCCAAAGGTAGCTTTGGATCCTGAAGGACTGGAAGTGGGGCTTCCCCGGGCCAAGTTCCAGTGTGAACCGCCCCAAGCCTGCGCGGAGGTGTGCTGGGAAGCCACGTGGCTGGGAGGTCAGGAGATTGACTGTGTTCGCTAGATGGCCAAGTTGGGGGTGAAAACTGGCTCTTGTGGCCTGAAGAAGTCAGTTTGCATACTGTTGTTTGCCCCTTCAAAGCTCCATCCTGCCCGTGCAAATCTTATTCCTGGGGATTTTGTTTCTGTGATTGGGTTTCCTTGGGCATAATATGTGCAGCACTGACATTGAATTAATAGAAAATACACAACGGGTATGCAAAATTTGCATCATAAAACTATGGGAAATAGATGGATTCCATTGGCAGATTTTCTATTTCTTGCTGTTTTTCTTTTCTGAGTGTGTGACTGTGTGTGTGACTGATGGTTGAAATCACAGCCTGTACCTTGCTCAGCAAGTACTCTCCCACTCAGCTGCACCCCTAAACTCTATCTTTTTTAGAGCAGGAATCCCCCAGGAAAGTACAACTGCATTAATTCTAGGGCTCTTCTGACTGGCTGCTCCAATTCTGCAGGTGGAGGGCTTATACCTATTTGCTGCTGCTGGCTGCTTGTCGATGTGTTTAATTAATCTTCAATGCTTTTTTCTAAACATGGACTTAGAGAATTAAATAAAATGGGTTTATGTAAATAAGATGGGTTTATATTTTTGGAATATGTAATTTTCTTTTTTATGAGTGCATGTTTGCACATTCAAAGTGATTATATTTATCATGGGGAGCTGGTACATGTACATAACACATCTTGATTCTTTTCTTGTTCCCTTTTGCCTCATCTCTTGGTCCCCTGTCCACTTGCAAAAGCTCTGTCTCCATTTTATTTATTCTTTTTCAATCCCCATCCCTCCCATCCCTCTTCTGTCTTTTCTTCCTATGTGTAATTTCAAATGCTATTCAGCCCATCAAGTTACATCTGAAAAGGTAAAATATTGTCAATATTTGACTATTACAGTAGCTATTAAGCTAAGAGTTATTTTCACATCTCAAGCAAATGTTAAAGTTGTTAAAAGTAATTTTTAATAAATTAATTTAACTTGTTCAATTGTTTTATTTAGCTGGAAGTTTGGAAGTATTTTAAATTTAAATGGTTTCATGTTATTTAATAATTTGTAGATTTTTGTATTAATTTTACTAATTTTCTAGCATGTAAGCTATATTGGAGCATGTTTATCAAATACAATTCTCAAATGTTAGTAGCTTTTAAAAGTTAATTTAACTTTGAACTTAATTTTAAATTATTCTTAAATGTACACTGATGGAAGAGTAAACATTATAGTGCCTCTTACATGCACAGAACATGCACAGCACATGGACATACATGTGATAAATCTGTTGACTTAAAATTTCATCAAAGGAAGATGTATGGCATGAAAAAGTTTAAAATAGAACTCTTGGTGGGGTGGAGGATTTACAAAATGAAAGAAATTTTAAAAATGAAGGGACGATGGTAATTGTAGCTCAGGTCAGGAACATGGGCAGACTTTATCAAGATTAGAAAGAGGAAAAAATCATCCTCCTTGCCTTTTCTGTAGAGTTATTATTTTGTCAGTCTAAACATTAGACAAAACACTCATGCAATTCAAAATTTAAAAATATAAAAAGATATACAGTAAGAAAGGAAGTCTTTCACCCCTTTTGTCCCCTCCCCTTGCACCTCTCTTGAACCACCAGCATGTCCTGCCCTTTTCTGTCTCGCTAACACTCTCTGTACTTCCCAGCATGCATCTCCCATGGTGTGAGCTAAGGGTGGCTGATTTGAGTTACTGACCCTTGGTCCAGAAAAATGCACAACACCAGTCTGGAATAGGAAAAGAGACAAGCACAGCACACATGAGGAAAACACAGATTTAGTGGGCAGAAACCTCCTGTGAATCAGCTATGAGACGCCACTGGAAAAGTCCAGGCTGTTCTGGGCTGCGTTTGTACACTGTTGGAGTCTGAGCAACAAGTATAAATGATGTTTCTGTTCTGGGCATAGGGCAACAGCAGTGACCTGCCCCAGGGTGATCTGTCATAAACCCTACACTTTGGTGGATGAGGGAGGGATTGCATCATCTCCTGCTGCTCAGGGCTGTTCAGACTCCAGGAATCCTGCTGCGTGCTCTGGGTGACTGTCTCCATTAGGAGTCATAACCCAGTGAGAGCAAGGTACGGGGTGTAGGCAGAGAGAAGCAACCTGACACCAGATCATAAGACCGAAGGTGGCAGCAGCTGGCTGTGTTTAGTGAGCCGTGGAGGGGCTGGGGATTTAGCTCAGCGGCAAAGCGCCTGCCTGGCAAGCACAAGGTCATGAGTTCGGTTCCCGGTACCGGAGAAAAGACAAAAAAATAAAAAAAATAAAAATAAAATTAGTGAGCTGTGGAGAGACAAGAAATGAGAGGACTTTGTGAGGACACAACTACCATCTTCAAGTACAGGAGGGTGGCTGTGTGGCACACAGGTTTGATTTCTTTTTGGTACCAGAAGGCAGACCTGCTTCCCACTGCAGCCAGTTAGTGGAAGTTAAAGGCTTATCACACGGTAGAAGAAAGAAGTCCTGAAAGATCAGACTTGTCCAAAATTTGAAGAAAGTTCCACATCTTGTGAAGGAGTGAAGGAGAGCTGAATCAATGACTTGAGGACAGAATTCTCGAACTGGGTTGGGTGGTAAAAGATTCTTCTCTACTCCGAGAACAAGAATTTGGAGTTTTTTGGGGGCAGGGCAGAATTTGTGGGGTAGGTAAATAGAAATTGGTGTTATGTGAAAGATTGTTCTTCTTCAGAGTGGGAAGATGTGTGTCAGAAATGTCATTGTACTTAGGTAATCATGAGTCTGTGGACTGTTATCATTAGGTGGTTATTCACATAAAAACAAAATCTTTGTTACTTCTGGATTAGTGTATAACTCCAAAACAAAGATTGTCTTACACTCCAAGTGTTGTAAAACTTTGGCATAATACATATTTGATAAATGATAAACAGCTATCTGATAAATAGTAAATCTTTCTTGTTGGACTGCAGCATTCCACAAACATACATTACATGACAGAAAGACTTTGTAGCCCAAACAGAGTTTTTGGGAGGAGACCATTGTCCTAATGACAAATTTAATTTCTCAAATGCCTAAGAAACAGCTGGCTTTTATAAAGTGACTGTATTTGGGGCTGGCTTTGTGGCTCAGTGGTAGAATACTTGACTAGCATGCATGAGACCTTAGGTTACTCTCTGCCACTGGGAAACAATGATAATATTTAAATATGTGAGCCATAAACTAGGGAATAGTGTTAGATAGACCTGAGTTCATATCCCAACCCTGCTAGGGCATGTAGGTGCTTGTGTAAATAGAATTTATTTGTGTGATCTTTTCTATGTTCCAATCCTAGTCCCACATACTGAAGCTATGACTGTCATATTTCTGTTATTGTGACAAAATCATCTGAAATAATCACAGTATAGTAGGAAGATTTATTTTGGCTCAGTTTCAGAGTACTCAGTATATGGTTTTGTGGCCCTATTGCTTTGCTGCATTGGCCTGCAAAACCTCATGGGGAGGCACAAGGCAGAGCAAAGCTGCTCACTTCATGGCAGTTGGAGCATAGAGGGAGATGCAAAGAGAGGGAGAGGAAAGAAGGAAAAGGGGAAGGAGAAAGAAAAGGAGAAGGAGAGAAGAGGACAGAGAGAGGTAGGCTATTGTCTCAGTATACTTCTCAAAGTTACTCTCTACTTTCCCAATCAGACTCCACCTCCTGAAGATTCTTCCCTCTCCTAAAAGCATAATCAACTCAAGTCCAAGACTATAACTTAGGAGCTTTTAGGAACACTAATGATGTAAAACATGAGATGCTATCTGTGCTCTCCAAAGGTTCATGTACATCTCATAATGCAGAGCACACGCAGTGTGTCTACAACAGCCCCATGGTCTTAGCAAGTACAGCTTTGCTCAAAAGTCCAACTCCATTTTCCTCTGAGATTCAAAGCAAACTGTTAGCTATGAGCCCTGTAAAAATAAGAGAGAAAATTTCATAATTCAAAATACAAAGGCACAGAGTAAACATTTATGTTCTAAAAGGGAGGAAATAAGGGCTTATAAAAGAGGGATAGGACCACAGCAAGACTGAAATCCAGAAGGGTGCACATAAATTTCTATACATTTGTGGCGCATATCTGGAGCCCACAGTAACACAATGTGAACTCCAAGGAGCTTGGGGAACCTGTGGTCTGAATGTTTACAGTCCATGTTTTGACCTGGATGCTCTTGTTGCCTTTAGCTTCCCTCCAGAGAGGTTCCAAATTCCTTGTATGTGTAACTTCTTGCAATCTTCACTGCCACTTTGGCTTCACTCACATAGCTTAACATATCAGGGGCAGCTTCCAGAGACTTTTGTACATCTAGATGCTTCACGACATCTTAGGCATTCCTTGGAAATCTCTCATGAAACCCCCATGGTCCTATAATTCTTGCATTCCCAAATGTAAACCAGCATCACATGAGCAATCAGTTTCTGTTGTCAAGTGGAACAGCAACCGGGCCTACATGGACTACAGCAGCAGTAGCAGCTTCTCTGTGAACTTGAACATGGAAAAACTGTTGGGATATATTCAGTTCTGTGTGAGGTGACAGGTCCTGAGAACAAAGTGCCATGGATGAAATGAAAAACAAGAAAAACAAAATTCTGGGATCAGGGGGCTTCAGCCTCCAGGGCTGTAGCCCCGAATACCATTTTCAGTAAACTTTTATTGAGAAAGAGCAAAGGCAGCAACAGGGCAACTGGAAGGAATCAACAGGTTTAGCAAGGACACTACAATTTAATTATCACAGGAATGAGACTTGACTTGACTTAGTTAACCATCATGTTATCATTCCTTCGGGCGTATCTCAGCAAATCATCTAGTGTTGTCCTGTGGCTTCCCACAGGAACACAGGTCTTACTATTATTTTCTTTTACACCAATGTTTTTGCTAGACTTCCTCCAGAATCAAGCAATCATACGGTTTGGTCAGGCCCAAAGTCTCACATAGGTAATACATTGAAAGATAAACTAAAGAATGTCCTTCTCCACAAAAAATAAGTCCTGGGGAAACAACCTCTTAGGTGGATCTATAGGAGCATGGCACCTTAGCACAATTTACTCAAATGAAAGAATTGCATCTTTACATTTTTGAGCCTGTGGTGCATGGTTTATCTTTCCTGTTGTCTGAGTGCAAATCTTTGGTTTCTTACTAATGGCATTGCAATGGCAAGCAGAAACACTGAAATGACACCCAGGATTTGGAGGCAGATTTGTTTATGTCAACAGGCACTTACTGGGATCGTTCTCAAAATATCAGGCCCTGATTTCTGGTGGTCTAGGACTTTTATATGATCCACAAGTGGGAGGTACAAAGGTGAGACAGAAAATCTTGGCGGTTCTTCTGATTAGCTAGCAGGTTGAGATCATTGGTTAGAAGGGTAAATTAATGACCATCAGTTCATGAAGTTCGGTACAATGGTACAATCAGGCATCCTACATGTTTGTTATGCTCTCATGGTTGCAGGAGTCAAGAAAGTAATTACAAAGCCATGAAACAGTTACAGAGCTAGGCAGTTTCAAAAGAACAAACATTTAGAAGAACAATTTCTCTTGCACAGTCTTCCCTTTCAGTATTAATCTCTTTAGCCAATGCAACCTACTTGGGTATACCTTAAACCATTACTTTTTTGGCCAAACTCATGTTTTGCAAGTCTTATGGCTCCGCCATTTGCTCCCAATTTTCACTATAAATCTGGCTTAAAGCATTTAGCTATAGTGATGCCACAGCCTGTTTGCCAGCCTGCTTTGAAATTTTCTCCGCCAGACTGATTTGTTTATCACCTTCAAATGTAGGCTCCTACAAAAATATCATGACATGGAAAAGATATAGGGAAGTTCTTAGTCAGAATGCAAGAAGAAAATCCTCTATAACAATTCCTAATTATAATATAGTATAATTAGTGTAGTACATTAATATAGCCATCTATCATAATTCCTCTTTCCCATCTGAATCTTCATGAAACTGGCCTCTTGGGCCACACTCCAGTTGAAATTCAGGTCTTCTGAACTTGCATCAGAATTTCTCTTTGAGCTCTCTTATGATATTCTAAACTTGTTCTGGTTTGAGTCTGCAACATTTTCCATATGCCTGCAAAAAGCCAGTTCCAAAGTCTTTTTTGGCATGCAGTCAGTTATAGGCATACCAACTGCCCCATTTTGGTACCAGTTTTATGTGTCAGAAAACTTTCTATTGCTGTAACAAATACCTTAGGCAATGAAATTAAAGGAGGGAAGATTTATTTTGGCTCAAGGTTGCAGATGGTTGCATGGCCCCATCAGTCTGAGTCTGTGACAGAGCAGAACATCATGGCAGGGAACACACAGTGGACGAAAACACCCCACTCATGCATCTAGGAGGCAAGACTGATAGAAGAAGGGACAGGGGTCCTACTATACACACTGAAAAGTATACACTCAATGACCATTTCCTCCAACTAAGTTCCACATTTCCAAATTTCTACCACCTTCAATAGTGCCATCAGCTGGGGACCAATGCTAGAATGCTTGAATTTTTGGGAGACATTTAAGATACAAACCACAGCAGTCCAGAAGAATGAAAAAGGCAGACAGAGTCCAACACTTGGTGGAGCTTAAAATCTAGTTTGGATCTGTCTAAACCTTAGTTCCTTTTCTGTCAAACTGAGATAACAAGGTTACTATGAGGGTTTTCTTAAAGTAATGTAGTAGGCATTTAAGAAACAATGAAAATTTATTAAGCCAACAACACTGATAACCCCATAGCTCCTGTTGGGGGAAATTAGAGCACAGATATTATCAAGTGAGTACAATATTCCTTATTTTGCTGCTGAAAAGCCTGGCTGTTAAAAACTGTTAGGTGATCATTACATTTGTCCTGCATTAAGCACTGAATAGGTGCCAGATCCTGCTCTGAGGGCTTTCCATGCTTTAATTCAATCCTGGGAAGGATGTTCTATAAACCAGTTTTGCAGTACTGAGAAATTAAGGTACTGTGTTCCCACACAGGAGTTAATTATGGTTATTTGAGGGAGCTAAACATGAACCTGTCAGTCTACAGAATGGATATTGTTCAAAAGACAGAGCTAAAGATTATTTAACTAACAGTATATGGTAGACTTGTGACTTTAAACTTTTTGATAAAAATTAGATATGTGATGCACTTGCTATTTTTGGGTAATAACAAGTAGTTTCATAAGTAAGGCACACAAAAACTGTGCAGCACTGTGACTCCACAAGGAGAGATAGACGGTGGCTTTCATCTCTTGCAACACAAGCAAGTCATTTATCATTGCTTTAGCATTATCACGGTCTTCCTCAGGACAAGAATTAGATGAGCTAAACACAGAGCACAGTTCATCTCACCTGAACTACTAGATTTTCCTAAGATAAGAGCTTAGGCAATGGGGGAAGACTTTTTGCAAATTGGCACTATTTGATGGACATCAGATATGACTTGCAAGTGGGAAAATTTCTTTAACTGCATGTGATGACAGAAGTTGGTCTATTTGCTTCCTTATTAAAATCTCAACTGCGAAAATTGCAGTAATAGAAATGAAACCTTGGTACTAGCTTTATCAAATCTAAATTCCCCTCTTAATAAATGAGGAAAACAAGACCATGCAATGATTTACTAATCACTTAGCTTTTCTTGATCAAAGACAGATTTAGAACATGGAATAAAGCTATGAAATTATATGGCTTTCCTTGAATAAAACCTAAAAGTTAACCAAGATCTATAAATATACAGAATACCATATGGATGGCTGTTGATAGTGTAGTTTGTATTCATGCCTTTGAAACTCCATATGAGATATTTTCTTAAAATAGTAAAAATTTAAACCCATGTATTAGGCATTTATTTCTATTGATATTGCATAAAATTTTCTTACTTTTTTGGTACAATTTGATGTATTGGAGTAATTGATTACTTAGTGCCTGCCTCCCCTACATCCCTTCTTCTTCCTGTACAGAACGGGAGCTGCCTGGCATGGTGGTGTGGGTGACGGGGGCTTCAGGTGGAATTGGCGAGGAGCTGGCTTACCAGCTGAGCAAATTAGGAGTTTCTCTCGTGCTGTCAGCCAGAAGAGAGCATGAGCTGGAGAGAGTGAAAAGAAAATGCCTAGGTGAGTAGCCCTAAAACAGCAGCCCTGCTTCCTTCAAATGAGTCAGTATCTGAACTGAGGTGCAGCTTTGGGAACTTTAGAGGGAAGGTGGGATTTTCCCGGTCACCACACTCTGGCTGTGAAAGCTCCAAGTGCCTTGACCTACACCTTCTTTTGTCATCTAGTGAGTAGTTTTCTCGGGCTTTTCTTTCTTTTCTGTCACCTTTCTACTTTCTCTCTCTCTCTCTGTGTCTCCCCCGTCTTCCCTGCCCCATCCCTGTCTCCCTATTATTTTATTTCTTGCACTAACACTACCAATTCTCTCAAATGCTCAGGAATTTTTAGTGACCAGGTCACTTAATGTGCTTGCCTTGGTGTACAGTGTGGTCCTATCCATCACAAATATATTAAACCTATGGAATTTAGTTGGGAATAAGCCTTACTCATTTTGCCAAAGTGCCAGATATTATCATCAAAAGAATTTTGTTATAAAAAGGAATTTTTATATAGAATTTTAAGAATGCAACTAGGTTTTTGCAATGGAACCTGGAATGAATATATTTCATATTCAAATAAATGGTGACTGTATGAATAGGTTTGTTGCTTTCAGTTTGAGAGTAGTGATGTTCACAGAGAAAATATCCTAAGGTTTAAAAAAGTTCTTGATTCTTATATGGCATTTAAAACTGAAATTCAGATAAGTTTTAGTTTTGTGGTAATCATTATTTTGGTCCTCTTTCCCTGTCATTCTTTGAAAATTTTCCTTTTCCTTTGCTGCTTGGCCAAACCACCCAGTAAAGAGAGTTTATTGCCCATTGACCTTCAGGAAGTCTTAGTGCTCTCATGACATTTTGTGTTTTGTGGTCCACCTTTCCTTCTGACAGCTGTTCCTCGAGCACTGTGAATTGCAAGCCCTGCTCTGGCAGAGAAGATGTACCCTATTGGCCTTTTTTAGCTGGAAAGAGCATGATCACTTTCCTTTTTTTTCTGTTACGCCCTTGGTGCAAGCCATTGTGCTTCTTCAAATATAGATGATATTTCACCACTTCCTCTTTTGCTCCTATAGCTGCCATACCCCACATATTTCCCACTCCTGCTTGGTTTTTCTAATTGATGTTACTTATTGAATTTTAAGCTTAGAGTTCAGGAAAACTCATTTCAGCTTTTCCACTGATGAAGGGAAATGTATAGGGCTGACTGTAGCCCTACATGTTTCTGTAGGTGGGAATTCTAGAAAAGATCATGCCTGTTTCCTTCCTTTACCTCCTTAGAAACCTTGGCCTTTGGAGAAAAGTTCCTGTGTGTCCTTTGACTGTAGAGCTCTGAGCTTCCTACTGATTTAAACTACACTGTGTAGCCTTTTAATGTGTGTAAAATAGCAGCTAACCTTTGTAAATGTAGAACAAAACACATGTAATTGTACTTCTAAAGAAATTGCTGTACAATTTTTGTTTTATCTTCTTACATAAATCTGCTTTCTATCAGAGCTTGTTCTAAAGTCTCACTGTGAATATTAATGTTGAAGCGTGGTACCTAACTGCCTGTGAAGCCACCAGCTTTCTGTCTCTAACACTGTCGTGTAGCCATTAGATCTCTTCCTGTTCACTGAGAGAAACTAACGCAAGACCACCGAAACTCAGCCTTGTCGCCAGCTCCTTGTGTGGGGTGGGAGCTAAACTTAATGGGAGTAACCAAGTGTTTGACTGAACCATGGCATGATGTTCACAGTAATTTTTAAGTGTCTTTCTCTAGATAATGGCACTGTAAAAGAAAAAGATATCCTCATTCTGCCCCTGGACCTGACCAACAGAAGTTCCCATGAAGTGGCTACCAATGCCATTCTCCAGGAGTTTGGTAGAGTAAGTAGTATTTGACAACAGTGGAGTATTAATTGATTTACTTTGCTTTGTTTTGCAATTGCTCTAGAAGAGATTCCCATGCATGCTGCTGTCACTCAAAGAGCTTTCAGGAGATGAGTGTCCATGCAATGGCCTCAGAGCTATTAGCTAGGTCTCATCATCTACGCTGGGCTTTGGGTAATAAGTATTTTTCACACCTTACCAAGAACTAATTTCTCCATGTAGAAAAAAGAAGGCAAAAATTCAGTGTTGCTTTCACTTGTATGACTCTTGTTACCTTCCATAAGGAATAATTTAAAATGGAAAGTTTATAGGCAAATTCTGTTTCTTTGTTTTATTTTTATTTTATCTTCTTATTGCTGACTTCTTAATATATACATTATTCCAATGATTCTTGAAGGGGACAATATAATCAGGTACTGCTAGAAATTCTGTCTATCCATTCACACAAGACGTCGTGAGTTCTGATGTCATTTAACTAGATCGACATTCTCATCAACAATGGAGGAAGAGCCCAGTGTTCTTTGATTGTGGATACCAACATGGATGTCTTCAAGGAGCTAATAGAACTTAACTACTTAGGGACAGTGTCCTTGACGAAGTGTGTTCTGCCTCACATGATCCAGAGGAAGCAAGGAAAGATTGTGACTATGAATAGCCTTGTAGGGATTATACCTGGGACTGCGTGCAGTGGATATGGTGCCAGCAAACACGCTTTACGGGTAAGGCAGCTGAAATTCAACTCTTCTGGAACTGATCTAAATGTGTATGGAGTTTATGACCACCACTGGGTGGGTCACTGGAAGTAGGCATTACATGGGGAGACAGCAAAAGGTGAAATTTGGTGGAGATCATCCTCAGTAAACCAAAACTAAGAATTAAGTCACACATGCCTTTAACTTCTCCAACACAGTTGTATGAGCACTTGTGCTCTGTCATGTACTGCAACAGGTCCTACAAACACAAACTAAGGCATGTATTTTGCTCTTAAGAAATATATAGTCATCTGGATGTTTTTCTAGAAGAACTGAAAACATCAGACCACAGCAATATATGTGCACCCATATTTATAGCAGCGCAATTTGTCATAGCTGAATCTTGGAAAAAACTCAAATGCCCATCAATTGAGGAATGGAGAAAAAAGACGTGGTATTTATATACAATGGAATATTACTCAGCTATAAAGAAAGATAAACTCAAGGCTTTTATAGGTAAATGGATGCAACTAGAGAACATACTCATAAGTGAAATACATCAGACCCGCATGTGTAAACATCATATTGTCTCCTTAGTGTAAGAAACTGAAAGAGTAAATAAAATCCAAAACATATAATAGATACTGTGAAAGGGAGAGAAACTGCTCAAAAGGAGAAAACAACTGAGATGAGGGGAAAGAAAAAGGGAAGAAAGAAGGAAGGGGAAAAAAGATATATATACACACATATGTATACACACACATACACGCACATACACACAAGATAGCTAAGATAATTGTACTACTAATTCCTATTGGTTCATTGAAAGAAACAGTTAATGCTTATTTTTTTAAATCAATCTTGCATGTTTATATCTGGTAATCTGAACAAGTACTTTGAAGATAGCAATATGCAATATAACAACTATTATTGATTTCCTATCTTCTTATTTTGAAATTCTGTATTGATTTCAATGTTCTTTTAACTTTTTATTCTCTTTAAAATAAAAAAGCAAAAAAAAAAAAGAGAAAAATATATACAGTAGTCAACAAGTCACATTTTAGCTGACCCTCTCTCTACCACATCTTGGCAAACTTGCTGAAGTGTCTATCCATTTTCTTCTACACACTTCAGCTTGTTCTCCCCTTGCCTCTATTTCTGTGGCTTCTTTTACTTTCTCTTTGTATTTCTACTTTATTTTGTCTTGTATAATTACACATGTTTTTCAAAAATAGGTTTTGCCACCAGAGTGATGAGTACTGAGTTTCACATCCCTACTGGGAAAACTTTGACTCTTTTCACTTTGGTTTCAATGGGAGAAGAAAGTCTCATCAAGGCAAAAGCTGAGTTTGAGGGTTGATTTGTGTAACATAACTTATAAGGGGTAAACATTAGAATTGAATGGATTTATAATGTTGGATTAGCAGTGGTTATGAAGGACTGGAATGTAACTTTGTGGTAGAACACTTGCCTAGCATGTGCAAGGCACTGGGTTTTGTCCTAGCACTGCAAAAAAGAAAACAATTGAATGTTACAACATTCTAAGAGCAATAGAAAGAAAATGATTAAAGGAGATGCAAAATTTATAATTATTTCTTCTGAAGGTCAGTTTTAGTAGAATATTCCCCTGTTGGAATAATGAGATGCAATAGCTGCATAGTTATTACAGTTCATGAAAATGGAAACTTTGGCTCACTTGGGCATTGTCTCTCTGCTGAGAGAAGAATGTTGCAGAGAAAGATAAAGCAGAATGAAATACTGATGATTTCCTGACGCTGAGTTATAAATGGGCTTTCAGTGGCTTCTGGTGGAGAACTTAGACAAGACTCAGGCAAGCACATAGGGGGCCATTCCCCCAATCTGTTGGCTCTGAGGGTCTCATAGCCCATGCGGGATCCTTTTAATAAAGCAAGCTAAGCTGTGTGGCCTGCCCACCTACACCCCCTGTTTAATTACTGGTCTTGATCTGTTAGAATATGGCAGGTTGAGAGTTTTGTTGTCATAATGGTTCTTCAACACTCAGACCAGGAAGCCCTCTTTGGTGAACACATTTCCTTCTCACTCTCCCGAAAATACATACAATGAATGTGTTTATGATTGAAAAGACTGCAGTATGCACTATATGAAAAAGGATTTCAATGAAGACAGGCTTTAAGGTGTGATGCATTGACTTGCAGGCTATACTCTCTCTTTTGCTATAGAGGGCCAAAAGGTTAAAGACACAGGAATCCTCCAGTATTTCCCCAGCATTGTTTTTGTCCGCTTTTGAGTTAGGCACTTGGTCAGGCTCTGATACCATGAGCTCTTAGAACCCTTATGCTTCTTAGGGGCCAGCATTAGGGACTGGTAACTGTTGAAGGTTGTCAAAACATGTAAGAGCATACCATAGGTTAACTGGTAAGGTTTTTCAGTAGTTAAACAAATCTTGTAACAGTATAGTCTTGGAACATTTCTTCGTTTAAGAAAATGGATGATGAAATTTCTGTTTTCTCCCTGTTCAGTTAGAATTGACCAACACTTATGTCTAGAAGATGTAGCTTGTTTTTACAAACATCATTCTATAGGTGATCCTATTCTATTTTTTTTTTTTTTTTGTTTTGTTTTGTTTTTGTTTTTCTCCGGTACCAGGAACCAAACTCACGACCTTGCACTTGCCAGGCAGGTGCTTTTGCCGCTGAGCTAAATCCCCAGCCCCGATCCTATTCTATTTTTAACTAGCTATGTAGTAGTTATCACCCAAACACACACATGTTTGGTGAAATTTACAGTAATGATATGAACTGAAAACACTGAATTCTTCCCTTTTGATTGGTTCAGTGAAGTACTAATCCTACTTTCCCTTACTCTGCTCCATACCTAGAGCACTTGAGAAATAAAGAAAACCCAGCACCAACTCCCTAGGAAATCTGGACAACATAAACTTCTTTTGGAGTATAGTGATGAGGGTTAGTATGAGTAAGGTGTATCTGAATATTCAGGGATAGTTTTCACCTGCCTGTCTTTACCCTATGATAAAAGTCATTGATAGCAAGAATGACTGGCATCAAGGAAGTGATCGATTTGTACCGATTTGTCAATAGATGTGGCTATGTGTTCTAGATTTCCTCTGGTCTTTTTTTTTTTTTTTTTTTTTTGGTTTTTCTCCGGTACCAGGAACCGAACTCACGACCTTGCGCTTGCCAGGCAGGTGCTTTTGCCGCTGAGCTAAATCCCCAGCCCTCCTCTGGTCTTAAAGTTAGAGATGTCTAAGAAGCTTGGATGACTCCATTACCTGTCCCTTACTCTGCAATTGTAGTACAAGTTTTGGTAAATCATGAGATATGTGCCTGTATCTAACTTATTTGCCTTGTTTTCATTTTAATTGTTGAGTTCTGTTTTCATGTGTGTTTGCTCTTAGGGATTCTTTAATAGCCTCTATATTGAACTTGGAGAATATCCTGATATTATAATTTCTAATATCTACCCTGGACCTGTACGCTCAAATATCATGAAGAATGCATTAACTGAGGAAATCACAAAGGTAAAATTTTCTAGATGGAGTGTAATTCAATGCTTAGTAATTATGTTTTGATGATGTTCTGCTGTATGTCAGGGTTTTTATGTCTGATCTGCCTGTGAGTTATTCATGAATCTTCAATTATGGCATGGTAAATATTGTTGAAGTTAGCTGGTACTACTTCAGCACCCATTTTGAATGATGACTAATGAAATGACTAAGGACCACTTACAGGTGGTCTACATATGTGTCTACTCTTAGGTGACAAGCTTCTTTTGGGAATTAAGAAACACCTTTGGCAGTCTGGCACAATGGTAAATCAAATACCTGTAGGCAAAGTCAGGGTATCAAAGGGAAGCTATTCTGAGGTGAGAGTGAGAAGGAGACTTGTTGGAACCAACAAAAAAGTAGCGGAAAACTTAAGCAGCATGGGAAAATGGAGTGGCAATGCTGAGAAAAGTACAAACCAGGTCACAATTTCACAGCTTCAACGCCGACTGTCCAGCGAGGGGAGTGGAACCTGATGCTGCAAGCACAAGGCTGCTGGAGATGGAGCACAGCACTTTGAGCATGCTGGTGCGGTGCTCTGCTGTTGTGGTATACTTGCCATCCCATTAAGGGAAATTTGCCTTCCTCTAGCCTCAGTCCATCCCCCATTTGAACCTTGGCTGATATCTCAAGTTAAAGAATGGGGAGACACATGTCCCCAGCATTTGACTTGGTCCCAGGCAGGTATGACTGGCAGCACTGTGACTTCTTCCTTCTGGACATCTAACCCCCTTAACAACAGCAGACAGACAGACATCCACTTACAGAACAGCATAAGAACAAGACAAACAACACAGAGTTACAGACAAAGTGGTAGGAAATGAAGAATGGTTGTTGTAATATGTTTTCCTTCTTTCATTTTTAAAATAAATTTTTAAAAATGGCAGACAGAAATAATATAACTGTTATGGAAATTGCAGCTCTGATGAATATACTGCACAGTTTAGAGTATACCTTCCTGACCCAACATCCCAGTCTTGTCTGCTCACAAAGACCATCAAGCTTTGACATAATGTTCACACAGTGTCTAGACCTACTTTTTCCTAACAAAGATGCCTCTAGGAAAACTACACTATGAAGTTTATTTAGAATCAATCTTACAACTGCATAACAAATTGATATCCCACTCTGTGCTGTCAAAGTTCCCACTAACAAGTCTCACACATAAAAGTGGAATAATATCTATCCAACTAATGTACACATTTCAAGATGGAAACACAGGAAGTATGAAAAAGCACTGTGATCTGATGCATCCAATCAGATACTCTCTGATACCTGACTTGAAAATAATAAGGTGGATTAAAAGTTGGACAAAGAATTCAAAAGGATTTTACAATGACAAATGAAATAAAGAATAATAAAAATAAATAATGAAATGGCTTAAGAAAACCCTTTCTGGGTATGAAAGATCAACCCAGTAAGGAGATGGTGATGCATGGAAAGGACCAAATGGAAATCATGAAAATGTAAAGCCCAACGAATCAAATGAAAAACAAATTCTGACCAATAGTATAGATGAATCAGGAAAAGGAACATAAGCTGAAACAGGGAGATGAAGTATCACATTCAAACTGTAACAAACAAACAAAAAATGAACATAACACAGATCTATGGGATACCACTAAGAGAAGAAATGTATGCATAATCAAAACAGACAAGAGAGCCGAGCCAAAAGTTCAGAGCATAAAAAGTAATTAAATAACTCAGAGCAGAAAATTTCCACTTTTGAGAGCAGTGGACATGCAGGTACAGAAGACTTTTACAACAATTTCTTTACCATGAATTATAGTAAACCATCACAACATTCAGAGAAAAGGCAGACGACTTCAAGGTACAAGAGTAAAGTACTATATCACTTATAGTAAGCCCATGAAAATATCAGTATATTTCTCAGCAGAAACTCTAAAGACCAGGAAGAATGGAAAGATGTTTTGCAAACTCTGAAAATGATTACAACCTAGATTATTATATTGAATAACTTTGTCAGGTGCAATCAGAGGAGAAATAAAGACCTTTCAAGATAAGCATGAGTTAAAGGAATTCATGACCACAAAACAAGCACTACAGAAGATATTTAAAAGAATCCTCCACCCAAGAGAGAAGCATGAAAACAGTCATGAGATACTAAAAAGAACAAAGCTCAGTACAGGAGTAGAAAAATTAGAATTAGGAAAGAATCTGACATGATTAACTTAGGAAACCGTCAACTCTCTAAGATAAGAGGGAAAGATGTGAACATAGCTTATTCAAAACAACCAGAAGCAAGAAAAAATGACAGATATTAGTGCATACCACTCATTAATAACACTAAATCTAAATATTATTTCTTTAATTATAAAAACCAGACTAGCTGACTGGATAAAAACACAAATCCAACTATTTGTCATCTGTCAGAAACTCACCACACAAGCACGAACAGGCAGAGACTAAAGGTGAAACAATAGAAAATGCTAATTCAAGCCAGAGGAATCTGAAAGCACATAAGAGTACCTATACTCAAGTAAAAGTCAGCTTTCTGCTTCTGGGACAAAATCCCTGACATAGACAATTTAAAAGAGCAAAAGATTATTTTGGCTCAAGTTTTCAGCCTTGAGAATGGCTCCATGGCAGATTAATGTGGAGGAAACCTGCTCACTTCAGGGCAGCCAGGAAGCAGAGAGTGGGACAAAAGCCAGGCAGAGAGAATGCTGGGGACAGTATATTCCCTCAAAGTCACACCTGCAGTGACCTACTTCCTCCAACTAGGTCCCACCTCCTAATAGTTCATCCAACCATGAATTTATCAAACAATTAATACTCTGATGAGATTAGAGCCATGGTAATCATGTCCCAAAAGCCATACCCTAAATAGTTGAGCCTTTCATGAGAGATGTTTGATGCAAACCATAGCATTCCATGCCAGGCCCCCAAAGACTCATATACATCTCATTATTCAAAGCGCATTCAGTACATCTCCAAGAATCCCTTGGTTTGAACAGTTCCCACTTTGCTGAAAGTCCAAGTCCAAATCTCCCCCTCAAATTCATGGCAAACTCTTACCTCTGATCTCTTGCAGAAATTGAAAGCAAATTTTGTACTCTTAAGATACATTGGCACAGGGTTAACATTCCCATCTCAAAATGGAAGAAGCTAGGACCAGGCAGGAAGCACAGAGGGCAGTTATTAAGTCCCACCCTTCCATACCCAGCATCCAGGGCGTGTGATGATAGGATATGGTTTCCATAGTGCTTGGCCCCAATCCTATGGTTTTTTTGGGTTGCATCTCATAGGATCTCTGTCACGGGCTGTCTTTGTGTGTAGACTGAGCTTTATGTAGCAAATATTCTCCATTTCTAGCATCTCTAAACACAGGGTCTTGAGTGCAATGTTGCCCTCTCTTCCCCAGTGTAATACATCACATTCTCCATGTCTGTCAGCATGGACTCCAACTGTGTTAGACATTGGCTAGTCTCCCTGTCCTTCTTTGAAATTCTAGGTGGGAACTTCTATGACCCTTGCATTCTGCATACTTGTTAAATCAGCATGATATGGATGAATCCAAGGGCTTCAGCGGTGTAATAAATAACAAGTTCTCTTTGCACAATGGACAGAGTGGCCTCTGAGGAAAAGGATGGCTGAAAATGTGGAAAGTTCTGGTAAGGCAGCCCTTGGTGACCAGTATTCTTTACAGCTGTCTTTCCAAGTAAAGTTTTTGAAGAGTTTACAAATTTATACCTTTGAGTATGTAATCACTGGACTATCCAGTTCCTAAAATGCCCTAAAATCATCTTTCTTGTTTATCAGGATGCAAAGTATTTATTTTTAATGACACTAATCTCTTCAGCCACACTTCTCTGGACTACAAGTTTCCATATGCTACTTTTCTGTCTACCTTGCACATCTTTCCGTTGTGTACATTTCCTTCCAGTTCTCTCTGTAAATCTGTACAAAACCAGCAGTTGCATCCATTCCAGAGGATGAATACTGTAGTTCCTTGAATATTCCTCTTCCAGAAGAAAAGAGTCCATTATCTTTAAAGTCAGCCTTCCACAAAATTTCAGGATATGGATAATATTCAGACACGTTATTATCAGAAGGTTATACCCATGATTTCTAGTCCAGCAAGCAATCGTATCTGTGTTCTCATATGAAACCAGTCAGCACATACTCTACCACTCACGTTTCTAACATTTTGGTTCCCTGAACTCATAGAATTGATCATCAAGCTCTGCTTATAGCATTCTAGGATTTCCTTAGTTCTATTCTCCAAATATTTCCAAATTCTCCCCTAACCCAGTTCCAAAGGCTTCTGAGCTGCATGGTCATATATAGTCACAGCAATGAAGCCACTTTTCAGTACTGATTTTCTGTAGTCTACAGTACTCAAGGTCTGTAGAGGAACACCATCTATGGGATATTTATTAGCTTCCTTACAAGATCAGAGAGGCTGCACAGTGCACAACAGCTGTCTGCATGCCGAATAGCCAGAGTATCCAGTGGCTTCTTGGTCAAGAGTCTGGAAGCCTCAGGAAAGGAAGAACCAAAGATGCAGCCCAGTTCTTAGGTGGAAGCTAAGGTTGCTCCTGGGAGAGTTCTGCTGTGCTTCCCCATTGAAAGGCTGAAGGGACTAAAGTCTCATATCAAAGGCAAGGGAAGCAGCAAAACCACATCTGCTTAAGGAGAATTCAGCTCTGAAATGTATTCTGATTTCTTCCTTCTTCTGCTTTTCATTCTATCCGAATTACAAGCCTACTGAATGGAGCCACTCACAATCAGGGCGGGCCTTCTTCTCCATTTGCTCACCTATATGCCAATCGTCTTCGGAAGTTTACTCTCTGTCACTCACAAATGTGTGCTTTGCTAATCTACATGTCTCTCCATCCAGTAAAGTTGACATTAAGATTAAATATCAGAATTCATATCCACAAAACACATGTCAAGCCAAGATCACTCAACAGGGAGGAAAAAATGCCACTTCATGTTCATAAAGGGAACAATCCATCAAGATGATATAAGGATTGTAAATATCTCTGTGATCAACATTAGTTTAATTTATTGAACAAACAGGACAGTACAAAAAGGAAGAGGTAGGACTCAGGGCAACAGAAGTGCATTCCTTTAATCTCCCACTGTCTCCAGGGGATACATCTTACAGATAAAAACTCCAGAAAGAAACTTCAGGGTTAATTTCTAATACAGATGACATAGACTTAACAGACTTCTAAAGAATGTTATATCCAAATGATACAGGATACACATCCTTTTAATCAACACATAAAACTTTTTCCAAAATATATCATTTTTCTTAGACCACAGACCAAGATTTACAGAATACAAAAAATTAAAGAATTTATTTCATCGCATTTATTCATTTCATAATGGAATGAACATACCAGGCAACAGCAGAACAGACTATAGAAATTGAACTCATGGGCATTGCTGTGGTTGCTGTCAACTGATCAGTGAGCCACTGAAAAGTCAAAGGGGTAATTATAAATTCCCTACAATCAAATGACAATGTGAACACAACATACGGTAACAAAGCAGAGAAATGTGAAATACTTAACCTGATACCTTTCAAGAACTTAAAAAACCAACGCAATCAAATGCCAAAGGAGCAAAAGGAAAGAAATAATAATGATGAGAGCAGAAACAATTTGAAGAGGGACAGAAAGAACAACAAAGGATCAATTACACAGTGAATGATAATTTGTATTTTTTTATTTTAGAGAGAAAAGAACAAAATCAAAATAACAAAAACAACACAAATACTACAAAAATGATAGAGAATTTCAAAACAAGATGATAGGAAATCAACAATGATTGTTGTATTATTTAGTATTATCTTCAAAGTAATTGCTCAGATTCCCAGATATAGGTATGCAAGATTGATCAAAGAATTAAACATTAACTGTTCCTTTCAATAAACCAATGGAAATTAGTAGTATGATTATCTTAGCTATCTTGTGTGTGTGTGTGTGTGTGTGTGTGTGTGAGTGTGTGTGTGTTTCTCATCTTTCTTTTTTTTCTTTCTTTCATTCCAGTTGTTCTTTCCTATTGAGCAGTTTCTTTCCCTTTCATAATATTTGTTGCACTTTTCAGTTTTGTTTACTCTTTCAGGTTTTTACACTAGGGAGACAATACAGTGTTTACATTGTGGGTCTAATTTATTAATGAATGGTTATTTGAACAGAAAAACAAAATTCACAAACCTCAATCAAAATACCAAAAAGAAATGGGGAGACAAGATCTAAATATACTTGGAGATGATAAAAAGAATATTAAAATAGGTTCCATGGAAAGCCATAAGATTATTAGGGAATATGTTGAATGATACACGCCCCAAAATTGAGAAATGTAGGGCAAATGTAAAATGTCCAGGCACATATGACCTACCAAAAGTAAAAGAAAAGGATGTAAATAGCCTAACTAGATCAGTTACAAGGAAAGAAATTGGAGCAGTGATAAAAGATCTTCTAATAAAGCAATCACAGGACTGTACTAATTCACAGCTGAATTTTGCCAGGCTTCTAAAAAAGAATTAATACCATCCGCCTCAAACTGTTCCATAAAATTGAAAGGGAAGAAATACTTCCAAACTCATCCTATAATGCCATTGTTAACCTGTTACCAAAAACAGATAAAGACACAGCAACAACAAAGAAAAGTATCGATCAATATCTTTGATGAATACAAATACAAGCTCGTTTAATAAAATGATTGCAAACTGATTTCAGAAGCACATTAAAAAGGTCATAAACCATGAGTGATTTGGTAGCATTCTAGGGATGCAGGTGTGGTTCAGCAAATGCAAACTAATAAATGTAGTAATACAGTATATAAATAGTTCTCTTTTTACCTAGCTACTGTACATAGGATTCATGTCCCTGATTCTTTCTTAACAAGTTAATTATTAGTGTATAGAAAAGCTCCTGAGTTTTGTGTGCCAATTTTATAACTTTTCTTCAGATTTTCCCCCTTTGGGATAATGGTGGCCTTGGAGTTCTCATAGATAGCTTTTATTATGTTGTGAGGCAGTCCTTCTGCACCTGGTTTATTCAAGGCAGTTATTATGAAATGACCTTAAGTTTTCTGAAGGTTTTTTCTGTATTTATTCACATGGCCTTGTGATTTTTATTTTTGATTCTATTTATATGCTGTTAAAAAGCTCAATTCAAAATGAATCAAAGACCTTAATACAAGACCTGGAACTCTGAAACTATTGGAAGAAAATCTAGAGGAAACATTTCAACATATTGACACAGGCAATGATTTCTCAACCGGGACTGCCTAGGTGGAGGTTTTTTTGTTTTGTTTTTTCTTCCGGTACCAGGAATCAAACTCACGACCTTGCACTTGCTAGGCAGGTGCTTTGCCACTGAGCTAAATCCCCAGCCCTAGGTGGAGGAATCAAAGCAAGAACTGACAAATAAAATTGTCTGAAATTAAAAAGCTTCTAGGCAGCAAAGGAAACGATCAACAGAGTCAAGTGACAACCTTCCAAATGGAAGAAGAGTTTTGCTAGTGATTTATCTGATAGGGAAATAATACCAAATAGTGAGTAATTCAGTTAATACATGGGCAGATGAGCTGAACAGTAGCTTCTCCAAAAGTGGAGTAAAAGGAGTCAATAAATATATGAAACATACTTGACATGATTAGCCCTCAAGGATTGCAAATCATGACTTTTTGAGATTTCATGACAGTCCAGCCATATAGAATACTATGAATAAAACAAAAAATAGCAATTCCAGGTGAAGTCATGGGGATAAAGGGTACTTATACCTTGCTGCTGGAAATATGAATTAGTACAGTCACTATGAAAATGAAGATGGAGATTCCCCGAAAGCTACTATACAACTACCATGTGAACAACCCATTAAAGTCCTTTGTATTTATCTGAGTAAAATGAAATTAGCATACAAAAGAGATCTATACACATGCTTTTTGTGGCGTTGTTCACATTAACTAACATATGGGATCGAATCAAGCTGGGTGCTAGTCAAGAGGTGAATGCATAAAGGATATGTGTGTGTGTGTGTGTGTATATATATATATATTAAACTTGGGGTATTATTTAACCATAAAGAATGAGATTCTGTCATTTTCAGGAAAATGCAGAAAACTGGGTGCCATAATATTAAACAAAATAAGTGAGATACAGATTGTAATATATGATTTCTTTCATATGTGGAAACTGGAAGAAATGTTGACCTGAACACAGTAGAAGGATTAGTATGGGAAAGAAAAAGTGATGAGGGAAGAAGGAGCAAGAGAAAAGTAAATGAAGGTAGCACAGAGAATGTTTGTAATCCAACCATGACTGTACACATGTCATCACATGTCACAACCCCCTGTCAATTCCAACAACTAATATGTGTTATTAATTATAATTAACCAAAGACTCAAAACCGTCTTCCTACTGTAAAAGAGAAAAATTCCTTTTACTTTTTCCCATTTCCTCCCCACATTTGTCATTTTTAATAGGATTTTATGTGCTAAATGCAAATCTCAATAATTTGATTCTTATCACTTCAGTGATAATAAAATGATCATTCAGTACTCTAATATGGTGCAATACTAATTAAAACCAAAGAATCTTCATCTTTCAAGAGCCTGGATAACCTTATCTGCTACATGCAGGATTCCTTTAAGCTATTTGAAACTTTATAATAATTCATGAGCCCACATTCAAACCTAAGGTATTCTTAAGAAGCATTAGGCTCCACTGAGGAAACCATATGAGCAGGTGGCTTTTGTGTCCTCACCAGCTTAATAATTCTTCAAACTATCTTGGATAAATTCTCAGCATTTCCTCAATTCTAAACTTTTCTTAGGCTTTCGGGCATGATTTTAAGTATATCCACACGTTGGCAACAAGTCGTTGTGCGCGGTTGATATTAATTGCCATGGCCAATAATTTGAAAGAAGTATGGATCTCAGGTCAATCCTTTTTGTTGCGGGCCTATCTGTGGCAATATATGCCAAGCTTAGCCTGCTGGATATCCAGGGTGTTCCAGAAGCAACTGCGAAAAATTCTTTAAAATGATATGGTAAGAACAACTTATGTATTTTTTACTCATGTCTCAATCTTGCTGAAAATCCAATCTTTCAGTGTCTAACAAATTTTCTCACTACTGCTCTACCGATCACAGCCGATAAATACAAAACATATTTCATTTCTGGGCCTACCCCTATCTGATGGTTTACCGTAAATTGTTCTACAGTGTCTACCCATCCTACCATGCTCGGCTCAGGCACTGGCTTGGTGAACGCCCCCTGGCCATCCCTCCCACTTCTCTCCAGGATGGGTGCACCTCGCCGTGTGCCTTCTGTCTGAGCACTGACTGCATGGTCAGGACAGATGCAGGTGCAAGATGTACTCATTGGTCTCCCCTCATTCCTGAAGTTCTCTGCACATCACACATGCAGCTGCACCCATGTCGAATGCTAAAGGCTGATTGTTCCTTTCAGCTCTCATCTCTATAAGCACTAGTGGGGAATATTATTAACCATTTCTGTGAAAATTGTAAGCATCAAAGAATTTTTTTATGTAAATATTACAGGAAATATAATGAGTTAAGCCCAAAATTGTGGGCTATGATTAAGCAACAAAGACTATTGCTGTGAATGGTTTTCATTTTGAATGTTTTTTATGTACTTTTTTATGTACTTTTTACTGCCATCTTTGTAAGTTGGTCTTTCAAAATATAAAAAAAAAGGACGGTGAGACAAGAGCGTACTGAACATACCACTGTAGAGTTTCTCTGCTGCAGCCATCCACACATGTGTCTCACACTTGTGAAACAGTTCATTTGCTCCAACTTTTTGCAAGACAGTGAAAATGGGTAGAGTGGAAAAAACCAAACATTAGAACACAATGAAATGCTTAAAAATTGAAAGATTTTTTAATGGCTTTGTGATACACTGAAATATCCATAATCAAAAAGTCACTAGGGGTTTTTCCTTGTGTTTCATCACCCCTTGTAATGTGAACCAGTTTTCTTTTTTTTCTTTTTTTTTTTTTTTTTTTTTGGTTTTTCTCCAGTAACGGGAACTGAACTCACGACCTTGCACTTGCCAGGCAGGCGCTTTTGCCACTGAGCTAAGTCCCCAGCCCCGCGAACCAGTTTTCTTGGAGTCAAATCATTTACAAGTGTCTTGGTAGAGGTGGGACTTGGTAGAGTCAGATGGTTTTGCGAGTGGAACTTCAGCACATAGTGCAGTTGAGTTTAAAGTTGGAGGACAGCTGCTCTCAGGTCTGAGGATAGATGAGAACAAGGAGCCAAAAGCCACCAGAGCAGAGGAAACACAGCATCCTGCTCCTGCAAGCAACCTGTTTCCTGGCTACCTGGATTGAAATCTCAGCTCCGCCCATACTTGCCCCATGACCTGAAGCAAGATGCCTTTCTTTAACTCCATTTCCTCATTCACAGAGTGGGGGTTACTGTAGTTAACTATTGTCACTGTGCTGTGCATTAAATTAGAATTTACAAGTTAGAATCACAAAAGTTATTCATCTTGTAACTGAAACTTTGTGGCCTTTGATCAACATTTCCTCATTTTCTCTACATTTCTGTCCCTGGTAATTACACATTCTAATCCCAGATTCTCTGAGCGTGTGTTTTCAGAATCCACATAGAAGTGAGGTCATACAATGTATTTTTGAGGCTTGCTTATTTCACTTAGCATAATGTACTCAAGGTTGATACCTGTTGTCATAAATGGCAGGATTCCTTTTTTTGTGGCTGAATTCTACTCCATTGTATCTCAATATGCCACATTTGCTTACCCATACATAAACTGTTTCTGTATCTTAGCTCTTGTGAATAACAGTGAGATCAACACAAGAGTGAAGGTGTCTCTTCAAGAGACTGAGTTTATTTCCTTTGGAAAATACTCTGGTCTAGTGTAGATGTGGTTTGTCCTTCCAAAAGTTGGTCTCCACTGGGGCAATATTGAAAAGTGGTAAAGCTTTAAGAGGTGGGCTTAGTGGAAGCTGATGAAGCCCGGGGGATATTACACTTGGCAGGAATCAATTTACTTCTCACAGGACCTAGTTTGTTCTCAAGAGAATGGACTGTCTTCAAGCAAGGCCACCACATACATTTTCCTGCTTCTGTACCTGGCTGGCTCCTTTACCATTTTTCTGCTCTATTGAGACCCAACCAAGGAAGACTCAGCAGAATCTGAACAGATAAAACCACCCTGTCTTGGGCTTTCAGCCTCCAAAATTCTGAGCTAAAACCTTTTTTCTTTGTATAGTACCCAGACTCAGATAGTTTGTTCCAATAACAGAATGTAAATAAATACTCCAAAAGGGAAATGCCTAAATGTCACATAGTAATTTCAGTTTTAAAAATCTCCTCACTGCCTTTCACAATGTTGATACCAATATACATTCTCAATGACTTTCATAGTAGGGTAGAGAAAGAATATATTGTAGCCATATTTTTGTCTGAGAAGAGAAAGGAACTAGAGTTTCATTCCTATGGTAGTAGTTGTTATCTTTTCAGAAATGTTGACAGAATATATTACAGTAATATTTAAACATCACTCAGGGCCTGGGATATAGCTCACTGGCACAAGTGCCTGCCTGGCAAGCACAAGGTCCTGAGTTCAATTCCCAGTACCAAAAATAAAAATATAAAAAATTACTCAAGTAAATCTAGCATTTTATTACATACAGAACTTTCTAAAAGACAATGGACTTTTGTGCCTATTACCGCCTTTCATATTTTGTCTATTATAAGGTTGCATTGCTTTATTATTCTGTTTTTGTGATACACTAGTCATTCATTCTTGTTCAAGTACTGTTTTGTGAATGTATTCCCTCATTCTTCATATAAAACCACAGAACATAACCACATTGAATTTTTTGATGTTACTGTCATTATTTTCATCATTTTTAGTGCAAATTCTTGGGAAAGTCACACGTTGGGGATTCTTAGATTGCCTTGTTTTATTTCTTAAATGATATGCTAAAAGTTCCTAAATGATTCTAGACTTACTCCCAGATATTTCAGTTACAAATCCTCTGACCTATTCTTTGTTTTCATTAGGACAAGTAAATGTGATGTTCGGATTAAGAAGAATAATAAGAGAATTCTGCCTTTCAGATGTGGCATGAGCAGATACTACCCATCGTGTTCATTCAAGATAGAAGTAGTGATGCTAAGCCCTTTGGAGATATTTTTGTGTAGATCTTGAATAATGGTTCTGATTTTTAAATTCGAATTTAACTTTTGCCCAAGGTTTATAAGGATTCTTAATGTCAGACCCCTGCCCAGACAGAGAAGAAAAAATTCCTTAAGCTGAGCTGCTTACCACAGCTGCAGAGACACGGAGATAACAGGGAGCCAGAGCTTGCAAAAGGAGATGAACAAGCCTAGGCTTCCTGAGGCAGCTGCACCTGCAAGACACGGATGTCACCAAGGCTCCCAACTCCCCCAGATCCAGACTAAAAATTTCCTACTCCTCCCTGCCATACTCCTTCCCTATTGAAACACCCCTATAAAACCTACCCCCCAATCCCTTATTGACCTTGGCCTGTCTACACCCAGGCTCCAATAAACTTTGCTTATTGCTTCGACTTTGCCTAACTTGGTGGTGTCACTCACACCTCAGTTTACTCTAACACTTATTAGTTACTCATATGATAGGACTCCTCCAAATAAAAACTGTTAATTGTGTTGCTAGTTCAGAGTGTGGTTTAGTTTTACATCGATGCCAAAAAAAGGCCATTGTACAGTGGCTCTGTTATAGGATTCAGATTCTTCTTATTTTAAAACATATAAGAATTTGAATAGTTAATATAGTTGTACTACTGACTTATATCACTTTATTGAAAGGAACAGTTAATGATTAATTATTTGATCAATCTTTCATGTCTATATTTGCTTTCCTGAGTAACCACTTTGAAGTTATCAGTATGTAATATAGCAACCAATGTTAATTTCCTGTCACCTTGCTTGTAATTCAGTATTGCTTATATTGTTCTTGTGCTATTTTATCAATGGATGTCTGTTAATATGTTTTCATTCTTTTATTTTTAAAATTAAAAAAAATACAAGAAAAAACACTAAAAGGATCGTTTGCAGTTTAGAAGACACTGGAAAGAGAAATGGAAACCATAATACATCAATTTTCTTTTATACAGAAAACTAATTGAAAGCTAGTATGTGCTTTTACTTTTTTGACATAAATTTCCTTTTAATATGTAATAAGTTATAAATAAATTTTGCTGTGAATCTTTTTAAAAAGTTATTAACACATACTATATCTTGAGTAAAAACATTTTAAAATACCTAAACACATGTGCTTAAAATAGGTTATCAGAAACCCTACCAAAGAATTATAGTAATCTGTTTAAAACATTTCATAGTCCATTTGTCCTCCTATAGCAAAATATCAGAGATTGGATCATTTTCAATCAGTGGAAGTTCATGTCTCCTGTTTCTGGGTGGAAGTGCAGGGCACCTGCAGAAATGGCGTCAGATGAGGGTTGACCTCTGCCTCACAATGGTGTCTTGCTACAGTGTCCTCTGCAATTTAGAGCACCTTGTTCATCTAACTAAAACTGGTTCATATGTGTTAAAACACTCTGTAAAATTGAAAATTGTGCATTTTAAACATTCCTTTTGTCTATGAACAAAAACATCAAAATCATACCATATTTTAAGTCTGTATATCTTCTCAAAGCACATTTCAAAGAGGAAAAAATTATACTGATGGGTTTAGTTGAAGAAAGCATCTCTGTTATCAATATTTATTTATTTATTTTCTGTTATCAATATTTAGAAATGTCCCTTGATTTAATGCATCACAGGCTTATATCCACGAATGTAGAAGGGTAAGATTCCAGAATTAAATACATAAATTTCTTTTGTAAAATGTAAAAGGAAACATGGGGGGGGTGTTAGGAAGAGGAACATTCTGATAAATGTTGATGAAATCATTTTCCTTCCAGTATGAATGAGATCAAAATATTAATTCTGTACCATGCTCCTTTCAATCTAGGCTGTATCAGCTGCCTACTGGAAAGCAACAAAGACATTTTGGTAGGGATATTTTTCAGTTAATCAGTTAAAAATCATTTATAAAGTTTTGCAAATGGTAGTTGACTATATGCTTATATTCCCTAGCCCATCCTTACAATCATCCAAGTGTCGTTTAACACAAGATAAAAACTCTGAGACTAGTCCCAGTGTGATTCCATGTCATTCAAGAAGAGTTAGGACCCTCTGAACAAGGACTAGCTGACAATATCTGCTGTAGATTGTCTTCTGAGAGTGAGTTAGAGAAATAGCAATAGTAAATGCATGTCCACTTGATTTAAAAACGTGTCCAATCACATCTGAGAAAGCAGATACTTTTGACAGTATTAATGTAAGATTTCTGAGTTGTATGCAAACCTGGCTGAGGTTGAGCAGCGCCATGAGTATAACTTTAAGGTTACTCATTCCACCAGAAAATTATTTGTTAACCTATGTCTTACCTAACCTGTCAAATTCCTTCACGTCCTGTTTCAATGACCTAAAGTGATTTCTCCTTCTAGAACAGTTGGTTTTTCACCCTGGTCTCACCCTAGTTAATCAATTATATTGTTAGAAATTATTCTCTTTTGATTTTAAAAATATAAACTATAACATACAAACTCAAAAGAGAGGTACCAAAAGTGGACCACTGTTTAATGCAAAAGCATGGCATGACTATCCAGAAAACACTATTTAATTAATAAAGAAGGCCACCAGGCCAGAAACCCCTGCATGCCCTTTCTAAACTCCTCCCCTATCTCCATCCCTCTAGAGGTAACCACTGTCTTGACATTGCTGGTAATAATTTCCTTTACAGTTTTATCCATGTTGTATGCAATCTAATATCATTGTTTCATTTTACCTATTCATAAACTTGTATTAATAGAATTTAACTTGTTACTTTGATTCATCCCTATGTTCATGAGCCTCACCCAATGTGTTAAACAATCTAAATGTAGTGAGAATATGTTCATAGTTGTATACATGATTCCACCACAGATTTATTGGACATGTTTTTAAAAAAAGCCATTCTTGTTGGGGACCACGACAATGTGGCTCTGAGCAAGAATTAATATTAACCGATTGGCTTTCTGTGTTTACTTGTGAGTGGTCTGAAGCTTAGGCACCTTGTCTGGGGATGGGCAGGGGATTCACACTAAGTAAATCTCTGTGAGTCCCTGGTCACCCTGAGGCCTGTATGTACCTGAAAAGCTGTGACACCTCAAAGGACAAGATAAGATCACAGCTGAGCACGTTTGGCTCCAACTACAATTAACTACAGGGAGACTACAGCTATAGGCTCCACACTCCTACAATAAATACCAACCTAAAGATAAGGTAGTTCTCCTGATTGACATAATTTACTACTATGTAGATCAATAAATGTAACATGCCATATAAATGTAACATGCCAAGGATAAATTCATATTATCATGTCAATAGATGCAGTAAAAGTTTTTGACAAAGTCCATTCATTATAAAATCCATACAGGAAACAGGAATAGATGGTCTTAATCTCTATCTGACAAAAGCCATCTATGGCAAACCAACATCTACTATAATACTACATTGACAGAAACTTAAAGCTTTCACTCTAAAATCAGGAATAGGACAGGAATGTCCACTGTCCCCACTCTTGTTCAGTACAGTTCTGGAAACCTTAGCCAGAGCAATTAGACAAGAGAAATAAATAAAAGGAATAAGGATAGGAAAGGAAGAAGTTAAATTATCAATATTCACAGATGACATGATACTCTACACAGAAGATTCCAAAAACTCCCCCAAAAGACTAGATTTAATAAGCAAATTCCATAGCATATGTGAATACAAAGTCAACTCTCAAAACTCAATAACCTTCCTGTAAATGAGTAACAAACTCACTGAGAGAAATTACGGAAACAACACCTTTCACAGTAGCATCCATAAAAATGAAATATCTCAGAATCAATCTCATGAAGGATATAAAAGACCTCTCTACTAAAAACCACATAACTCTGAAAAAGGAGATTGAAGAGGATATCAGAAAATGGAAAGATATTCCTTACTCTTCAGTAGAATCAGTAAAATGAAAATGGTTATACTTGCAAAACTGTTACACATATTTATGCAATACTAATCAAAATCACAACAGTATACCTTATAGAATTAGAAAAAAACTTAAAATTCATTTGGAATCAGAAGAGAACTGGAATAGAAAAGGCAATTTTGGACAATAAAGACAAGGCAGGCAGCATCACAATCTCTGACTTGAAATTATACCACAAAGCTACTGTAATAGAAACAGTGTGGTACTGGCAAAAAACAGACCCAAGAATCAATGGAACAGATTAGAAGATGTGAAAATAACTCCAGACATGCTTAGCCACCTTTTCTTTGACAAAGGTGTTGAACACATTCACTGGAAGAAAGATAGCCTCTTTAATAAATGGTACTGGAAAAATGACTTTGCACATGCCCAAGATTAAAATTGGACCCATGTCTTTCACCATGTACTAAACTAAAGTCTGAATGGATCAAATATCAAATATTAAAACAGAAACACTAAATCTACTGGAAGATAAAATAAGTAAAACTCTTGAAGGCATTAGTGGAGGCAAATACTTTATAAACAAAACCCAATTGCACAGGAGTTATCACAATGAATAAACTACTAGGATCTCATCTTATTAAATAGCTTTTGCACACCAAGAGAAACCACAAACAGTATGAAAAGACAACCTATAGTGTTAGAAAAAATCTTTGCCAATTGTTCCTCAGACAAAGGATTACTATCATGAACATATAAACAACTCAAAAAAAAAAATCAGACCTCCCAAATTTAAAGACCCAATCCATAAATGGGCATCTGAGATGAATACACACTTCTCAGGTAAGAAATACAAGCAGCAAATAAATATATGGAAAATGTTCAACATCAGTGGTCATTTGAGAGATATAAATTAAAACAATGCTGATATTCCATCTCACCCCAGAAAGAAGGGCTATTATTGGGAAATCAGCCAATAAAAATGCTGGGTGGGCTTTGGGGAAAAAAGGAACCCTTCTCCACCATTGGTGAGAGTGTAGACTTGTGCAACCACTGTGGAAATCAATGTGGAGATTCCTCAAAAAACTAGGATTGGAGGTCCCATTTGACTCAGCTATTTCCCTTCTGAGTATCTTCTCAAAAGTATTAAAAGCATAATATCACAGCAATATATGCACTCCCATGCTGTTAGTGGCACAATTTGTAACTGCAAATTCTTGGAAACAAACCAAGTGCCCATCAACCAAGGAATGGATAAAGAAGATGGGTATTTTTTATACAGTGGAGTACTTTTCTGCCATAAAGAAGTAAAAGCTTGAGACATTCCTAGGTAAATGGATGCACACTTGAGACATACTCTTAAGTGAACTAAATTGGACACACATATGTAAATACCACATTATTTCTCTGGTGTGAGGAACCAAAAGTGTAAATAAGAACCAAAATGTATATTAGGTATTGTGAAATAGGAAGAAAATGTTCAAATGGAGAGAGAAACATGGAACAGAAGAGGCAGACAGGAAACAAGGG